GAAGAAGGCAAAACAGAGAACAAAAAGGAAGAAGGCAAAACAGAGAACAAAAGGGAAGAAGGCAAAACAGAGAACAAAAAGGAAGACAGAAAAAAGAAAAAAAGAAGACAGAAAAGAAATGAAACAGAAGAAAAAGACAGAAAAGAGATGAAACTGAAAAGAAATAAAACAGAAAAAAGAGCGAAAAGGGAAAAAAACAGAAAAGAAATGAAACAGGAAAAAAGTCGGAAAAGAGAAGAAATAAAGAGAAGAAAGTGAAAAGGACAGAAGAAAGAAAAAGTATAAGTTAAATGGAAAAAAACTCTGAATTAAAAATGGAAAATGAAAGAATTAGAAGGTTAGAAACAGAAAAAACAGAAGAGTTATGGAACTGAAAAAAGACAGAAAGAAGAAAAGAGAAAAAATAGGGGAAGACAAAAAAAAAAAAAGATAAGAAACAGGAAAAAGCCAGAAAGGAAAGAGACAGAAAAAGATAATAAAGAGAAGAAATAGAAAAGTGTTGAAAACAGAAAAGAGATGAAGAAAGAAAGAGTAGAAAGTAAAAGAAAAAAACAGGAATAAAGAGAGAAAGGGAAACAGAAGAAGAGAGAAGGAGGAGGAAACAGAAGAGAAATCACGCGCTAAAAAGATAGGAGGAAAAAAGAAAAGAGAAAAGTTTAAAAATAAAAAAAAAACAGACAAGAAAATACACTTCAAAACTCAGGGTAAATGTTTTCAATAATATCATGAATTATCGATACTGTCTTTGTTTAATCATATTTTATTGTAAACCCCAGTGCAAATATAAATAAAAGTTTTATCTATTAAATGCTATTAATTCTTCGCGATATTTAGATCGTGAATAATCTCGTTTTTTTTTATCAACTGAATGTGATAAACACAAATGAAATATACTGATAAAATAGTAAAATCATTTTTAGCCCTACCAACTCCTTTTAAAAAAATATCGTTGATCGGTACAATCTGACCAAATGATCAAACATCAGAATTATTTCTGGGACAGCGGCTTTGTTGGGCAGAGACTATTTCAACATTACCTTATATGTTTACTCAGGTCGTTTCCAAAGTTATGTGTCTTATTTTATTGTTTTTGTACACTTAAGTGGCGGACGTTGGCGTTATGAGAGTCAGGCATGAACATATCCGCCAATAACACAATTTATTCCCCTCTGTTCCACAAAGCAACTGAATAACAAACTGACGCAATGATGTTTTATATGAGAGCATGTACAAGGCATATATGTGTCACTGAATTCCTCTAAACGTAAAAGAATTATGACCCGATAATATTCATCAACGGTTGATGAACATTTACGTAGATCAAACAGTGGTTTTGAGCACAGTTAGGTGGTGAGTAATGCGTTTTGGCAGTGGCGATATGTGTTACAAATTGCATTTCGAACCAGTGAAAGTTGGAATACTTAACGAAGGCATACCGTGAGCAGGCAGATATGATTCCGCACGAATGATAATGGACGCGAGGCTGCACAGCTGTTTCAGCTTGCGCTTCCACACAGCCGAGTTATCATTTGCTGCTGTTTATCGTCGTGTTACTGAGACAGGATCTGTGACACCACAAACAATGATAATTGTTTAGATTGTATCTTGGATTGTACTTTTAACGGCGTCTACTGCGAACTTTAAACTTAAATAACTCAAAAACAAATTCGCGGACATAGATTTATGTGGGTTTTTGTCCTTGCTTTGGTCTGAGGAATCCGCCCCGAGAAGTTTATAAAAGTATTTTTGATACACCCTCAATATATGTTGTTTATATCTACGTGGAGATTGTTGTTTGATAGACTGTCATGAATACATGCATATACTGATACATATCTTGGAATAACCAATTGCCTTGTCATAATGGTCGAATTTGAACACATAAATGGGTTCATTATAAAAGAATAGAATATCGGTTGCATTCCGATAAAATGCTTTGATTACAAGGAGAAAGTATTTCCCCGGAGGTCGAAATATCCTAGTCCCCACCACCAATAAACGTAGTCAATTGTATCGCAACGAAAAGGGTTAAATTGCTATCTCCAGTAAAATAAGGACACGTTGAAAAAAAAATAGGAAAAAAAAAAGGTGAAGGTGGAACATTACGTCTGGCCGATAAACTCCAGAGAGGCAAAGACCGGACATTGTTACAATAATAAATTGTGTTTGTTGTCATTAACAGCGAAAAAGAAGAGTGGAACACTGGATTTGACAGTCAAATCGTTGTTTGTTAGTTGTTCATACACATTTCTGGAGCCCAATGTACGTATATTTCTTTGCTTGATGCAAGTACTAAAAGTTCGTAACCTGCCATTTTGCTTCCAATGCCATTTATAATTGTCCCTAACGGTTATATATATATATATATATATATATATATATATATATATATATATATATATACACACACAAGCATTGCTGATGTCGACTATGTTTATAGGACGATATTTGTTTTAAATCGTGTTTCCTTCCAATTATGATATAAAATGAAAACTATTTAACAAAGAAATCATGTTGTTCCGATATTCGGGCATTGCTACACGAAACGCAGCGTCACAAATTTGTGTTGCAAGAACACCCGAGCTTCCCAATTCTATCATCATAATATTCACTAATCATATATGACTGGATCAATAAAACTGCGAGTTATAAGTTGAATTTTGATCTAAAATTTTCATTGTGTAATCTTTGGTCTATGTGATTAACACTGAAGCATTGTGAGATAAACGTGTTGGTACTAATAACATATATAATAATGATATTTCTTTATCTGAAATAATCAGATATAAATTAACAATTTCTTATTCAACGAACACGATTATGTTCAAAAACGAAATATGATAGGTTCGCTTATTTTCAGTATCAATTTTGAAATCATTACCAAATGCTTGTGCGTTTCTTCATAGAATTTGTCTGTTGATATTGGCTGGAATTTTATTAACTCTGCGCTTTTTGTCAATATAACGCTTTTATGTTTTCTAGGAATCTGTAAAAATAATAAATACTAGTAATGATAATCAGCCTTTTACTTTGCATTTTTGTATGACGTTTTTGTACCTCCGTCATGGTCTAAAAGATTAAATATCCTGCAACGGATTATCAGTAGTAAAAAGAACAATCATATAATCTTACATCGCTCGTTTTTTATTGTTTTATTTTACCAAGTTGTAATTAGAAATGGAGAATTGGAAATTCTAAGTCACACAATGAAGAAAAGGGCTTGGAGAATTTGACACTCACAGGACACATGGAAATCAAGAGAGACATAAGAGAGAAGCGATTAACCTACCTAACGAGCTTGCTTAGTTGGTTATCAGAACAGGCATTACTTGAAATTACTTGAAATAACACAAAAAAAATAAACATTAATAAAAAAAATTGTGGAAAGACATCACCCTAAGGGATACAGCACATAGAAGAATAAGTAGTATCTGAACTATTGCTTTAATTGATATATATATATATATATATATATATATATATATATATATATATATATATACACACACATGAGGGGTAATGAAAGGTCTTTGCCCGCATAATTTACATTATGTAACCTAGCATCATCATTTTTAGAAATCTCTTTTCTGTCGTGAGGTGAAGCACTTGTAAACAACTCCTCAAAAATTGGTCAGCAAGGATACAGTAAAATATTTTTTTTATTTAATTTGTCTGAAAAAGTTAATTTACTCAGTACATTTAATGTGTTTTTACCTCAGCGTATGCCACTTACTAATTTGTATTTTTTAAAAACTTTTACCATTATTTTTTTTACATTGATGTCCACCCTGTACAAGGCTCAACAACCACTCGAACTAGAAACTATGCCACGTACTCTGTAGTACGTGGCATAGTTTATGAGAATATGTGGGTAAGATAACTGATAACCCCTGACTTGAACCGCTTAGCCTTGTAGTAATCGGGGAAGCATCCAGTTGGGAGAAGATTTTGCAAAGCAGTGGTCCGTGGGAATAAGCTGTTCGAGAGGAATTTACATTTCACGAATGGAATACGAAAGAAATGAGGGTGATTCGTTACGATGGGCGTGGCATGATGGATCTAAGCCGTAAAGGATATAACTTGTCTATAAATGAATTATATCAAACTATTACTTGTGCGTTTGAAATCTAGTAAATTGAAACATATTTTGAGTGTTGCTATTTTATTTGTTGTTTATAACTGGAAAGAATCTTTCAGTGACGCGTGATGTTCAGTACAATTACCGGCACTAAATGTGAATTGTTGTTGATCGCACTTGATTCGTACAGTTGTTGTTTGTAGAAGGTCAAGTAATCTTTTTGTTTAGTAAAGAGTAACAAACAAATGAGAAATGTCAACGAGTTAAACGCAGTTTTCTCTTGCTTTTAGCGATTAGAGTGACATAATAATTTAGCCGCATTTCATGCGAACAAGATACATCCTTACATATAAACCAAATCTTAGGGAGAACTAGCAAGAATGTGTTTTCATCCGCTACCGAATAGTTTTATTTTTGTTTTTTTTTTAGCTTACTAAACAACTCTAATTTCGTTTAGTTCATTTCCCCTGTCATTTCTCATTTAAGTATCATCTTTTCACTCTCATTTCGATATCATACATTTATTTTTATCTATATTCATCTACCTTTTCTTTGCAAGTGCACGTTCTTCCTTACTGCTTACTTATCGGCACCTACCCTCTTATATAACAACCGAATATAAACTATTGTTAATTATCTACAATTTTCTATTTGTATTTATTCCTTCTTAATTTTAGCTTATTTTTATCACGACGTTCAGTCCGTAATTCTATGGCTTAAGTAACACGTATCGAAATAATTGCACAACAGAATTTCTAAGAATTCTTCAGTTCTAAGGATAAAAATATATATTTTCGATACTACTACTCATGTTTTTGAAGCTAGAAGTTAACTTATAGCTACAATCAGAAAGAGACAACTAATATTTTGGCGATATACTGAAGAAAGAAGGTCTGGAGAATTTAACACTAACAGAACATAATGGGGTCATATCACGTTAAGACATTGGTTCCCGTACGATCACCGAAGTTAAGTTACGTCGAGCCTGGTTAGTACCTAGATTGGTGACCGCTTGAGAATACCAGGTGCTGTAA